TCCAATCAACACCATCCATTCACTCTCTCATTTACATTCAGACCTATTGTGCATGTTTTTAGTGGTAGGGGAAACCGGAGCACCCGGAGGAAACCTACGCACACACGGGGAGAACATGCAAACTCCACTCAGAAAAGCCCTGTTCTGACCGGGATTTGAACCCAGGTGTGTGTGTAAGCCAGAATCTGATTCATACAACAAACATCAGATTCAGATTCATTTATTTGCCATTTGCAGTAAAACCACATTGGAAAAACTGTGCAAGACTACCCCAGTGTGCACCAGACGACACACACCAGAGCTCTTGCCACGGCGCCATCTTTACGGCGCCATGCGACCGTTTGACATGGTTAAACCCCTGTGTATGATGCATGGAATAGAAATAGATAAATCAACTGCATTCTCTGACTAGTAACCCACAACGTAAATGACAACGCAATAAAAAGGATTAAATAAGTCTGTGGTATTTATTTATTGTCACTTTTAATATGCATGTAAATATTTGTTTTATGCTTTGATATTGTTGTCACACACTTAGTTTTCCACCGTGGGTTTAAAGCACAAATGGCCAGTGAACTGTTCTGAGCTGAAAAATCACTTCTTATGCCTAAAGTTCAGTGCATTAAAATCACAAATGAGGGTGGTTAGAGAATTAGGACGGACGTGAGGTAGGTGTGAATGATGACGGACAATGCTTTAATGATAGGTGAGCCCTTTCTCTGTCTGGCCCAGTTTGTCACCGATGTCTGCTGTAGTTGTGTCCTTGGGCAAGACACTTAACCCCACTTTGCCTGAATCCCTCTGCTGAAAGATCAAGGCTCTGCTCTCACAGACAGAGCAGCCAGCCCCTGTCCTCTGGCATTATTTTAACTTCCAACATGTATGGACCAATGACTCTAGGTGTTTTGTATCATGGCCTTTCCTGTGTTTAAACTGTTTGATTCTCTGATCTGTTAGGGTTAGGGTTAGGCTATCAACAACTTTGTAAGATTACAAAAATAAATTGACTCGAATTGATCTGTATCGTTTGAGTGCTCCCACCGTGCCGGAAATATGCTGTAAAAGTAGTCCTTGATGTTATGGATTTTTCAACTAATTAAAGAGAGCTTTAATCTTCAATCCTCTTTGAGAAATCAGAAGTGCACTTTTGTCGACGTGGGTCCAGGGCCTTTAAGTGCTGAAAACATGAACACTTCCTATTCAACCTGAAGTAGGAGTAGCCGAAAGCCCTGAAGCACAATGGAATGAGGATTAGAGTGGCTGTTGATGAGGTGGGCGTGGACCAGAGAAAGTAGGCTAACGGGACAGTGTTAGCGATGGCGTGAGAGTGCACCTGTCCCACTGAGGCCGCTCCACTCACCGCTAACCCGAAGTGGCAGCACCTCAGCTTGACCTTCTCCCCCCAAACGCCACTGGTCCCCTCTTATCCTATTAGGAGGCAGGCACCATGCAAGACCCCTCCACGCACACATACGAGCCCCCTGTCCTGCAATGGGCCTGTCCCGGACAAACATCATCCCCGTGGAACAGGCGGCCACTTAATGCGTACAGACAGTGGGACAATTAGAGCCATGCCAACGCGCAGGACTGGGGTTGGACAAGTAGAAGCGATTAAATATGTTGCTCTAAGGATATAGCAAACCTGAAGCTTCCTGAAAAGTAAAAATGTGTGACAAATTTAAGTTTAAGTGGAAATCTGATTTGAATGCGGTAGACTCATCCAGGACTGTATCTCTTGACACAACAAAAGACGGTTTGGACATTTTAGCTGGCAATCCAAATGAATGTGAAGAATACATTATGCAACAGGTGGAGATGGGGCCAGAGAGTTTTGAACTTGTCATGTTGAGATACACAGCGAGCAGTCACATGCTGTAAAGTAGGTTTGACAGGCACCTTGTGTGGAGTGGGTTAAAAGGGTGGTCCATGCAAAGCAGTTAAAAATGTAAATGTAAATTGTACGCAATTACCATTCATTAACTTTACATCTGTCCTGAGGATTTTATATAGATAATGCAATATTACATATAGCGATAGAAAGGCAATGCATACACAATGGTTATATACAATTCCAAATATGATGGGAGCAAATACTACAGCACCAACAAGGTTCTTTACTGGGCGGCACGGTGGCTGAGTGGATAGCACTCTCGCCTCTCAGCAAGAAGGTCCTGGGTTCGAATCCCAGTTGGACCGGGGCCTTTCTGAGTGGAGTTTGCATGTTCTCCCCGTGTCTGCGTAGGTTTCCTCCGGGTGCTCCGGTTTCCCCTACCACTAAAAATATGTACAATAGATCTAGCATGTGCCTCCTGTACTGGCGACCCCCAATCCCAAAAAAAATCACAATTGTAAACCGCTTTGAGACTCCGATGTGCAGTGAAAAGGCGGTATATAAATAAAGATTACTTACTGGTTTGCTCCTGAGGCTTTGACAAACAAGTAGGGCCACAACTATGACTTCGGTTGTGATGCGTAATTAATGTGTTAGTAAAAACTATGCAGTAAAACTAAGCCTCTACAATGTGAAGATGTCTGCTGACTCGAAAATGTGATAAGTCTCACACAAGCACAGATGAATGTGCATGTGCTGTGTGAGGTTAAGTCAGGACAGACGACCCAAAACATTTACCTCTGTGACATAAACACAATCTTTCTATGGTGAGCAAGGAGCACTGAAAGTGTAAACTCTGCACATTGGCTTTAGCGGTGGCCTGTTATAGATTGCAAAGGTAAACTAGAAAAGCATTCGTAAAGAGAAGACCTTTGTCTACAGGATAAATGTATTCAGTTGTTCACCATTATACTTCCGAAAACCGACATCTGTAGATGGATCCCGGGTGCTACACTTTGGGGACCACTGCGCCTGACGGGTCGCTCTAGTGACAATGAAGGAAGGTCAAATGCAGAGACCAAATCTGTATAAAACCTTTGGTGCATATCAATAAATCATCTAAAAATCCACTTGTATTGCCATGATATTAAACAAAATACACACATATCACAAAAATAAAACAAGAATTACTGTAGGCCTGTCTAAAGTGTAGTTTCCCATCGATGACCGTGCAAGTTCTTTTTCTCTCTATGAAGCCTCTAAACTCTGACCCAGTTGGCTAATTATGCAACAGTACAAGGAAGGAAGTTGAGGCTGCACAGAAAGTACCAATGCAAACACAAATATGACCTCGTTCAACAAGCGAGATGGCCACAGCACAATTTAAACATGCATTTTACTCTCAATTTGTCCCCTCAGCTCCTCTCTGCTTTAGATAGAACAGAGGAGCATCCAGCCAGTGCATTTGTGGTCCAATATACAAGCAGTGTATGTACATATTATGCTCGAGTTGGCCTCCAGGAAGTGCCTGGCAGTCAACATTGTGGGAAGTCTCAAAAAAAATTAGAGCCGCAAAAATGCGCAAAATGCATTGGTATGTGGACACAACATATTGAAAGGTATTTAGTTATAGTTAAATAAGTGTATTGGGTGTTAAAGGGGACATATTCTGGGTCGGACTGGGATTATACGGTGCTCCTTGTGTTGCGTTTGTGTTTGTAAAAGTGTGTTTGAGTATTTTCTTTATTGATTTAGATCTTTCTGAGTTGAACATGTGCACTATTGTAAGTCAGTTAATCAGAAACTTTAAAATGTACTGTGTGTAGTTTTGTGTTTGTATCAATCTCTATCTAGGAGACGTATAAGAACGCTTCTGCTTTCTCCCTCCACTTACTACACACAGGCACACACATTTACACACAGATACACACAGTTACACACAGTTACACACAGGCACACACATTTACACACAGATACACACAGTTACACACAGTTACACACAGGCACACACATTTACACACAGGCACACACAGTTACACACAGTTACACACAGGCACACACATTTACACACAGATACACACAGTTACACACAGTTACACACAGGCACACACATTTACACACAGGCACACACATATACACACAGGCACACACATATATACACACAGGCACACACATTTACACACATATACACACAGGCACACACATTTACACACAGATACACACATATACACACAGGCACACACATATACACACAGATACACACAGATACACACAGTTACACACAGTTACACACAGATACACAGTTACACACAGATACACACAGATACACACAGTTACACACAGTTACACACAGATACACACAGTTACACACAGATACACACATATACACACAGATACACACAGGCACACACATTTACACACAGATACACATAGATACACACAGTTACACACAGATACACACAGTTACACATAGATGCACACAGGCACACACATATACACACAGTTACACACAGATACACACACGTACACACAGATACACACAGTTGCACACAGATACACACAGTTACACACAGATACACACAGTTACACACAGATACACACAATTACACACAGATACACACATATACACACAGTGACACACAGATACACACAGGCACACACAGATACACACAGGCACGCACAGGCACACACAGATACACACATTTACACACATTAACACACAGTTACACACATTTACACACAGTTACACACAGTGACACACAGATACACACAGATACACACAGGTACATACAGATACACACAGGTACACACAGATACACACAGGTACACACAGATAAACACAGATACACACAGGTACACACAGATACACACAGATACACACAGGCACACACAGATACACACAGATACACACAGATACACACAGGTACACACAGATACACACAGGTACACACAGATACACACAAATACACACAGTTACACACAGTTACACACAGATACACACGGGTGCACAAAGATACACACAGAAAAACAGTGTAATCAGCTTGTGAGAGTGTATCTTTAGAGTTTCTTTTGAGAATCTGTGTTATGCAGATGATTCAACAACTCTGAGGGGAACAAAAGCAGGTCGCAATCCTGCTGTTTATATTGTGATATTTTCTAATGGACAAACATGACAGGTTTCCATGGTAACGGTTTCCATGGTAACAGTTTCCATGGGACCCAGTCCCAAGTGATGTCTCAAGGTTCCGGAACACTTGGATTTATCTGGAGGGAAGTGATCGGCAGTGGGACTTTAACCCCAGTGTCTTTTTACTTCTTGGGAGGACTCCAATCCTTAACCCTAACTCCAAACCTAGCTCTAACTCTAACCCGCGAGAGAGGCTTTTAAGAAGCGGATTCTCTACATGCGGTAATGTAGCAGAGTTAGACATATATACTACATATCCATCCATTTTCTTCCCTTTAATCCATTTCTGGGTCAGGGGGGTGGCAATCAGAGCTGCCACCCAAGTCTCATAGCACCAGCCCCTCACTGACCCTCTGCAGGTGGTGAGTCCACAGGAGGACGGCTGCTCTCTGAGTGAGAGCATAGCCTTGATCTTTCAGTGGGGGCTTTGGGCAAAGTGGGGTTAAGTGTCTTGCCCAAGGACACAACGACAGCAGTCATCAGTGGGAGTCGGTGGAGAAGGTGCAGAGGTGGGAAATGAACCCACGACCTTCTGGCCTTAAGGCCAATGCTCTACCAACTGAGCTACTGTCGCCCCTCTACTACATATTTACAGAAAATTACTCCCTTTTCCCTCTTAACTGTTTATTAGTTAGAGTTAATTATATAGAGTTGAAACACAAACAGGATGTGGAGGAATAAAAATAGACAACAGGTACATGAGTGTGCTTGTAGCGCACGTTTAGCCGATTACCGGGAAAAAAATGATGAGTTACAGACGTATATTAATCAGAGAGAATGGGGGATGGAGCAGGACCTCCACCACTTCAGAGATGAGTTCAGAGAGGCCTTTCTGAGAAGTAACGGGAAAGAACTGAGAGAGGTAAAGGAGATAGCTGCGCGTCAGAAGGTTATCATGACCAATCAGATTGAAGAACTGCAGAAGGAGGCAAGGCAGAGAAGGATTGAGTCAAACCGGGCACGCAGACAGTTACGGCAAGCTCAAGACGCTTTAGATGCGAAAGATCAGGAGCTCCACGCTCTGAGAGAATCGATCGTGGACGTTGCCACAAAGAATGCATTGACTGCTGAAGTTGGACAACAACAGCTGGAGACAAGGACTTGATCCGAACACTGACTGAAGAGACCACAGCGAGAAAGGCCGAGCAGGAGGACCTTCGAGAGCAGCTCAAACAAGCTCAAGAAGAACTAAAGGTTCAAGATAAACAGATCCTGGTGCTGCAGAAAGCCAAGGATCAGACCGTAACTGAGGTCGAAGATCAGTTAGAAGTCGCCACGACCAGAATGAGGCGCTTGATGGGTTTGGCGCGAGAGCGAGAGGCGCAGTGGAAGAAAGCCAACAGAAGCCTCGAAGAAGAGCTCAGACAGACGAAGCTCCAGTTACCAGAGAAAGATCGTCAGCTCAGGACTCTGACGGAGGTTAACGAGTCCATGAACCTTGACATCACAAGGTTAAAAGACAATCTGACTCGCCTTAAACAGAAAATCCATCAGTTTATAAAGGGGCCTGTTCAGTTCGAGACAGAGGCAGAGGTGGAGACTGAGGTGGAGGCCGAGGTGGAGGTCGAGGTGGAGGCCAAGGTGGAGGCCGAGGTGGAGACTGAGGTGGAGGCCGAGGTGGAGACCACAATAGAGGCTGCAATAGAAAGCAAGGTAGCGATGGCGATAGCGGCAGCAATAGAGACAGAGGTAGAGGCAGCGATAGAAGTGTTAGTTAGCAATGGAAGTGCATCTGAACCTGTGCCAGAAACTGTACACTTTAGACAGGTGCGCAGGGTGCTAGGTGTGAACGTTAGGAGCCTGGTCCAACTGTTCGCTCAGAAAGACCAGGATGTTCAGGAGGACAAACAACGCGCTGAAGAACTACAAGAGAAGACGAAACAAAAGGCTGCAAACTGCATGTTGAATCGCAAGTAAGTAAATCCCTTTGGGCGACATGGTGGCCGAGTGGTTAGCACTCGTGCTTCTCAGCAAAAAGGTCCTGGGTTTGGATCCTCACGGAAACATAGCCTTTCTGAGAAGAGTTATCATGTTTTCCCCGTGCCTGCGTAGGTTTCCTCCGGGTGCTCCGGTTTCCCCTACAACTAAAAACATGGACAATAGCTCCTCTCTCTGAAGGGCCAAGACTTTCCTGAAAAAGAGATTCTGAAATCTCAGTGGGACGTTCCTGGTAAAAAAAAAAAAAGACTAAATAATTGAAAAAAACGTTAAATCGAGCATTCCATTGGCAACCTGGCAACCCCCTCATGTTGGGTTTGGGTTGTCCACGATAAGCTTTACATTGCAAAAGCAGCAGAATGTACTGGAGAGTTTGTTTGGCTGTTTGTGCTTCTGGAGCTTTGAGGTGGGCAACACAAACACCTGCAGAGGTTGCTTTGTTGATTCTGCACAAAATGGCCTCCAACGAGCCTGGGTCTCAGTCCAGACCGTGTTGGAGATCAGGGAGGTCCGGCGGGTTCAGAGGGAACTGTGTGGCTGAGATCTCAGTCCAATAGAGCAGGACCAGACTCCTAATGGTCCCAGGTCCAGGCTCTACCTGAAGATCTGGTGAAATGAGTGTACCCTGTCGGTTGGAAGGACAACCTCAGTGGGACCTCTGTAGAACCAGTTGGTCTTCCTGGTGTAGATCATTCAGGGCAAAGCGACAGCTTCAGTTTGCTCGTTTGAGTTTGGCGGATTGGTTCTGGCGTGTGAGCTGTAAGACAATCCGTGAGGACAATTAGGTTCAAAACAGTGTCATTGACTCAGTAAGAAACTATGAAGCTGTTTTTGGCTTTAGATTAGACAACAATGGACTGTACTAATGCATTTGTGGAAGACGGACTTCTCTGGACTTTTCCTCCAGTATCAACTAAGGAATAATACACGTTTTTCACACCAATTTAACTCGAGAATGTGTTTTTTACTTGTCCACAAAGTTTCTCTCTCAGGTCTCTCTCTGGTCTCTCTCTCAGGTCTCTCTCTCTCTGGTCTCTCTCAGGTCTCCCTCTGGTCTCTCTCTGGTGTCTCTCTCTGGTCTCTCTGGTCTGCATGCTTAAACTCAGACGCCTTAAAATGATGTATCATGTGCCATTGAAACCTATATTGTTGTTGCTCGGAGACTTTTGAAAAAAACATTCTGCACATTGAGCCTTAATTTGACCCCTGAACATGCATGAAAACCTGCCAAATATTGCCCATAATTCAGAACTGGCTAAAAATTCCTTTTTTGGTCTTGATTTTTAAGGAACTAAAAAATTCCAGAAAAACGCCCCCTACAAGTTTACATTGCACCTATGAGAGAGGATCTGAGGTCAAGTTTGTCGTAGAGCCTCGAAATTTGGTTCTCAAGTCAAGACATGACATTTTTTTATTATGGCCACTCCCCCTGACAAACAAGAAGCCCACTAATTTCATTGCAAAATGGAAAAATGATCCTTTTCACACATGTTTGTTGGAAATCATCTCCTCCTTGGCAGTTTCACCGATTTGCCTCAAAATTGCCCCACATCGTCTAAACACATGTACCATCATTTTGATATTGTGAAATTTTGATCAGTTAAACATTGTATGAGCAGCAAAATGTGACTTCCCCCCCCCTATTTTTGACAATAGATAATTTGCTCCCGTTTGCACATACAAAGTCCGATTTGCACACAATTTGAAAGTGCAAAAAATTGAAATTTGCCCATTAGCGCTCCCTACAGACTATGTCAAAGTTTTACATATGGACAATCACATTTAGTTTTATCAAAAAGTTTGCAATTTGCACATAATTCTGTTTTGCCCTCTTGATTCAAAAGGTCAATCAGACCCAAGACCCAGACAAACCCTGTTTCCATGGCAACGACAAACGCTCCCAATTCTGTGTCAAGGGCACCTCACACAAATATCAAACCACCCTCGGACGTTTCACCGATTTGGCTGATAATTGCTCCACATCATCTCAACACATGCATCATCAATAGTTGTTCATAGACTTTTGATTAGTCACATGGTTATCCAATGGAGACAGTATATATATGGACACACGCACAGATTATACATGTGCTCCTGTTTACACATACAAAGTCTGATTTGTACTAAACTTGACTCGGTTGTTCTACTCCTGGGCCTAGATCACCTGAAGGTGTGAAATATAAAATTGGCTCTTTAGCGCCCCCTGCAGACTGAGCCACAGTTATACATGAGGAGCCAAACCAACTGATCATATTCATTACAATGTTACACACATTGTTCTATGGCTGTGAGAGCAAATCATGGTGCGGCCGCGCCACTTCCTTTGCGCGGTGCTTGCGGCCTAATTTATTTTTGCTATATTATTTAGACTTCATGGTAACACTTTAGTTTTGCCCTCACTAATTAACTAATAAGTGCTAATTAACTCTTAATTTGTATTTATTAAGCACTTATTAGTCCTTTTTTTCTACATGGCCTTATTCAACATCTTTCTAACTACTAACAGTCATGTCGTTTGAGGTAAGGTTAACACTAGGGTTAGGACTGGGACACTATAGGACTAGAAATGGGATGAGAGCAGGGTTCGAGTTAGGGTACACCAGTTAGCATTTGATTAGCTGTTAATTAGTGAGGGCTAATTTAAAGTGTTACCAACTTTTTTCGGGACCAATGCAGGCTCATGATTGATAGCCGATGAGATAAAGATAGAAAATATGATAAAAGAGCAGTGTAAAGAACAAGCATAATATCACTGCACATTTTTTCAAAAGATTGCAACAAAACAATACACAGAAAGTCCGGCTAGTCCCGTCGACGATATGTCCAGAACACTAAGCAAAGTAAGTTTAGACAGAGAAATGCAAAGTGGCTGATATTTTCCTACACTACTGAGATGTAAACACACTCTCCCATGTTACTTTGGACTGTTTAAAGCGGACACACACTCACAAACAGGCTCGGACAACTATGAGCACGAGATGGAAACATGACCATATTCACAATCAGACACAACAACTGTGTGATAGCTACAGGGTTGTGCTCATAGATTATTCAATGCTAGGACTTGCAGAACAGTTTTTAGATTTAAGCACTTTATACGGTTTCTACCTTAAAAAACGGTTAAATCTGGTGAATACAATCTGAAATACAGCTGACAGTTTGTTTAATAATGAATAATGCATCGGTTTAATTTACATTCTAACTGCTGTCAATTAAACACTGCTGCCGGGGTAACTCGCACTCTCTCTTCTCTAGTGGAAAAAACAAGCAAACTTGGAACAGAATGAGGAATTTTGGCTATAACTGCCATAGGAGTGGTCTTTTCTTTTTTTTCTCTCTCTTGCCTGAAAAAGCTGATGTCAGCAAAACTTACATGTGAAAACTAGTGATAGAACCAATGACCACGATAAAGTTCATTTTTTTGTGAATTGAAAGTTGGGTACCCCATCTGTATGTTTACTCACAAAAGTTGCCTGTATAGGGCATTGATAGCGGCAGGCAGAGCAGTCCATTTACAAAGAGCAACACAGTACAGCAAGAAAACAAGGTTCAGATTGAAGTTCCAATTCTTAAAAGAAAAAGAAAAAACCCTGGATCCAGATGTTACTCAGATCATCTTCAAAAACAAAAAGTTTGATGCTTACTCATAAAATTTTGAGTTATGTTCCAAACAAAACAAAAAAACAGACAACAAACAAATAAACAAACCCTGGTGAGTACATTACATTACCCCAGTGGGATAGTTGACAAATCCAACTTAGCCAAAATATACCGACGTCTAGAATCCCAGTCCTTTTTGCAATGCAACAGTAACAAGATTCACGTTAATATCAAGTTTACAGAGCTCTAGTTATACATTTCCAAATTCCCCGTCGACATGCACTGACTAACTATTTTTTTTGCCTCTCGCTTCACCCCGTCCTGATTGACACCCTGGCACCGCATTACTGATACTCTTCTGAATGCGTTCTCGCGAAAGACCGCCGACAACGCGCAGCCTAATAATCTAACCTCCATCTGTCGCTCACACGGTCCTGCTCCTACCTGCCCCTGTACACTTATAGGGCGCTCCTGTTGAGGCCTGTCGCGGAGCCACCAGCCATTACATCCGCACGTAAACAGCTCGCATACGCAGAAATACAAGACTGCAGGCATCTATCCACACGTACTGCACACACACACACACACACACACACACACACACACACACACACACACACACACACACACACACACACACACACACACACACACACACACTCTCCCTGCATGGGCATGAAGTCACAGCTCGGGCCCACTGGGAGGATTTAATTCAATTCGATTCAATTCACTGTGATTTTGTATAGCCCTGAATCACAACAGCAGATTAAAAAATGCAATAATAACAAAAAGACATAGGAGCCATTTGTCCATAGGGATCACTGTCCATTAATGTTGATAAAGTCCATACAACCCTGCACAATCTGACTACTACCACTACTACTACTACTACTACTACAGTAATTAAGAGTCCAGGATCTATCTTGAAGTTGATCCTGGACTCATAACCCACACTCAATGACCCCTCGGTTGGCATTTTTCCTGGGCAAAAAAAACATCTACATTGATCGTGGACTCCTAATTACTTGGCGAGCTCACACAAACCAGTGGTATTACCCATGTGGATTGGCAGCCCCTCCAATCCGTCTCAGGGCAGCTGTGGCTACAATATTATCGCCAGTTGTTGCACCATATTTCTCATTTCTAAGTCAAGTTGTCTTCTCATAGATCACAGACTTTACGTTTAAAGTAACATTACTGTGCATATAGGTGCAGATAACAAAAAAAGAATATTTAGAGGCAAAAACATGGATGGTTGAATATGAATATACAGCTATACTTTCAGGTAACATTCAAGTTAAGCAACACTGGAGAAAAACAATGGATTTGCGAAACACGTATCGTCCGATTTCATCTTCTGTTGCTTCCTTCTTTTAAAC